GGTGTACACATGTTCTAGTACTTCTATACAGAAGCACCGTGGTTTATACACGTCTTGAGACTTTTTTTTCTAACAAAATAAAATATTACGTGATAGTTTAAGGATTTGCTTGAATGGGCATAAAATCCAGTCCCTTGTGCGTTCATGTGAGCTTGCCTGACATCCACCGCTGCCCCCACCATATTGGCAAAATGTTACATTGCCTTGCTAGTTATGTATGTTTTCAATAAAGCTTATTAAAAAAATAAATAAATAAAAGGACATCCACTGCTGACATTGTAAAAGTGGAATTTTTTTTGACTGCGCCCGTTTTTGTGGACCTGTTTTACCTCCTGCTGCTACACTGTGACCAGAGGATGTGGAGAAAATACAGGGCCTGAGGTTACTGCATGTCCAGGAATGTTCCTGCACAATGACTCGCTGTTTTACCTGACCAGGTCTAACCTGTAAGCAGCCGGCCGGTGAAGTCCCAAGGGTGGTTAGTGATCAGCCCATCAACACTGGATTCCCCCAGAGCACAGTACCTGTTTGTTTTGACTGCTTGAGGCCAGTGTGTCTGCCACATGTGATGTGTTGCTGGTTAACCAGTGGATTAACGGCCCGTGATGTTATTGCCAGTGCTACGCTACCTGTTGGAATTAATTTCACTACTTTGGGACTGTATGTGGTCGTGTGGGGGAGACGCAGCAAACAGCGGTTGGATTTACCGACCTTGGAGCTACTTGAAAGGGAGTGATGTTTCTACTACTCGGTGGGACTTAACGGTAAGTTTAAAAAACTCGCTGCATGCCTGTTAATGACTTGTTTCTGTAACATTAAAGAGAATTGCTGTGAGGCTGGAGAGGTTACTATGTCTGCATTATGCCAGTTAAAATATGGGGTTTCTCAGTTACCCACTTTGTTTAGAGTGTTACACATCTCTTTTCATTGGTACATATACCATTGTTTACCTATTTATGGTACTGTATTTTCCGCACTATAAGGCGCACCTAAGAGCCTTAAATTTTCTCAAAAATCGGCCGTGCGCCTGATAATCCGGTGCGCCTTATGTGTGCACTGAGTTCCAAAATCTGTAAAAATGTTGTTGTGCGACTTTGGTAAGCGCTCCGCTTGATTGACTGTCGGACCATTTCCCGCTGACACAGGGACCGGTCTAAGGACCCCCGAAAATGGCACCAGTGAAGAGACATGCTTACGCGGCACAATTCAAACTACAGGCTATCAGTTATGCGGTTGTAAATGGGAATAGAGCAGCTGCGAAAGAATTCAAAATCAATGAATCTATGGTTCGGAAGTGGATTTGTGGGAGAAGATTGATTAAAAAATAATGTGAGTGTATTGTTAAATAGTAGAATAAAGTTCAACTAAACTCACTGTTTTGCTTCCGTTATGTTTTAGCATGCGCCTTATAATACGGTGCGCTTTATGTATGGGTTAAGTACAGAACTAGACCCCATAATTGAGACTGCGCCTTATAATCCGGTGCGCCTTATGGTGCAGAAAATACGGTCAATTAATTCGTGTTCACTTGTGACAACACCGGCAGCAGGAGGTGTGCGCATTCATGAACTATTCTCTCGTTTTTAGGAAGAGACTCTTTGGTTTTATTATTCTGAAAAAATGACAGACTATTTGGAGTTATGAGGGATGCCAAGCTAATCTTTTTCTATTTCTATTGTATTCTACAGTTGCCAACTGACGTAGTAATCATCTCAGATCCTGGAGATTAGGTTTGGATATTTTGAGGTTTGGTCCCTCCTTCTGATTAGTTGTTTCAAATTGTCAATTTGAGACCTGACCACGGCTCACGACCAAAACGTTTTGTCTTGTGTGTAGACAGTGTACAACAATAGAACCTTTTTTCCCCACAAGACAACTAAAACGGCTGACGAAGACCATGAGACATGGCTGAAAACTGAAGAAACATGGGCTGAGTGAGGATAATTCGTCAAACTATGAGCTGATGTTTTTCTCACAACCTGCATACAGTTTGGATGACATTATCATCACTTAACCTCATCTGTATTTATCTGACTACTAGGTAGTTGTTTAATAGTGTATTACAGTAATTACACACTGCTAGTAAGTCACTTCTGACAATTTAAGCTGAGGATATGAAACAGCACTGACCTCTTTCAGTCACTATTTTCCTGCTGGCTGCTGTTGTACAAACTCAGCACTGAATGTTCCACAGGTCTGAGGCCCAGAGTGATTATGATACTGACCTGATGCACTGAAAGTGTAACTGAAATTGACTATTATTTACTATCCACTAGTGTTAGCTGTCAGCCAGTCGACCGTTAACTTGCTACAACATATGATACAACAACGCTATAATAAACCTACTCATTCACATTACTGCATACTGAGTGTAGTATTCTACTGAGAATTATAAAGAAGAGAAATAACAGTCTTTAGCTGAATCATGAAGTAATTTGAGTAGAACTGAAATTCATGATGTGGAAGCATGTAGGCAGTCATAGCTCATGCAATTCCATCACTTCCTTGTTGATTTGAAGTACAGCTACTGTATATGCATTTACTTAGAATGATCAAGCATACAATAACAATTATCAGATCAGCTCCTTTACAGCTGACCTCATTATACAGTCAACACTGTAGCTACAGGCTGCCATCAGCCCACACCAAAGCTGACATGTGATGCTGAGAAAAGCAAATCTGTCTGAGGCTGCCTGTGAAACAAGGGAGGAGGTGAGATCCAAATCATATTCACGATCTGCTCTGCTGTCTATTTGCTGCCTAACTGAGGCTTCTACTACACAAACATGGGAGACTACCAGTGATAAACACGCAGCACTTCACATCGCCATCTCCCAAATTTTGCTGTAATAGAAGGGAAGTTTTTAAAAATGTATGCAGGTGCACAGCAGGAACAGCAGGAAATGGCTGTTTCAGATGCCACATTACATGCCTGTCTACTTGTTACAGTTGAAATAAAAACTTTTAAGTGGGTGATCATATTTATCTAACCACAGGAAAACTACAGAGAACTCTGTAACTCTACAGGAAATCAGTGGTGACTAAACAAAGTAAAAGTGAAAAAAACAACACACACACTATAAACATGTGTTCTATAACGTCATGTTATAAACATGTATTAAGAAGCTGATTATTCACTAATTTCTTTTCACAAATCTATTTAATAATAACCTTACAGAAAAGGAAATTATCAGTTTGGGCCAAACCTTTCAGCAGGTGCATAATTCATACTGATAATTTTAAAAATGACTTCAGCAGCATAAAATAAAACATTTAATAGGCTGGGCTAAGAATGCGCCCCTACTTCCAGCCATGATGCTAAGCCAGACAAAATATTCTCTTTGACATATCACTCTGCTAGCTTTAATTAAAATAAAATGAGGGAGGCAGTTAGAGTCTGCACAGTGTCTGACATTAAACTACCAGCATTTCCTTCACTTATTTCCTAACTCTTCTCTCTTACCTGGGTGGTGGTGGCAAACATGTACTTGTCCTGAAGCTGGAAGCTGTCCACCTGCTCGAGGATCACTCTGCGATTCTGTTCACTCTGGAAGAAGTCAATGCTGCTGATAATAGTGGAGACTCCCTGGGGCTTATGTCTCTGGACCAGCACTGTGGTGGGGGGGTCATAGGGCTCTACACCCCTAGGATGGGGGAGAAGAGAGCAGGAGCAAGAGGGAGGGAAGGAGGGGACAGAGGAAAGATTGCAGGGGATGGAAATGCATTTTGTTAGTTCCTTTTGAAGTAGCATACATGTTCAGACAGTTATATGCATCAAAAACATAACTATAGTTTTTCTTGCACGTTTTGCCAAAACATCTCTCTGCAGCTTTCTCAATTCATGATAGATATTGTTATTCATCTTCATTTGATGTCTTTGTTTTGAGGTTACAGCTGGACAGTATTTCCATACTGTCTCTGTCTAGTGTGACTCTAAGAAAAGTGTAATTAAAAACTGGCTGACATTTTTGCTTGACACGTGAAGTATATTAATTTTATCATTCAACAGCTCATGTAATTTTGCATACACTTGAAATATTATAATTACATATATATCAATGAATATACTAAATATTGATCTAATCTGACCAAGGAATGTCCCCATTGAGTTATTTTTACCCTGGTCTCAATCCAAAAACATCTTTTAACATTGTGTACCTCCAATCTGATACTGATGAAATACTGTATGTATGACATATCAAAGTAACGTGGCACTTAATTATCATTAATGAGCCACAGCCAATATGACCATGCCGCAGAGATGTTTGTCATTTTGACTACATATTAGCTGTTTTACACATTGCTCTTCGTTAATGAGACAAGGGAGATAGAGTTGTTACCTTTGGAGTTCTGACACCAGCTTTGCCAGTGCTGGTGTCGGAACAGTCAGTCAACGGTGCAACCAAGTAATTTTTCACATTCACACAGATCAATGTTCACTTGCATATGCAGTGGAATGCTTGCACTATAGACTGTCATTAAGAAGAGCAGCACTACAATCCTAGCAGGTTGGGATGGACAAAACAGCAGAGGATCATATTTAGATGTTCAATTTTTAGCTGATACCAATCCATTAAATACTCCCAGATGGCCCTGATCTTCAGGATCGACATGGGACATCTCTATTACAAGCCATTCCTCTTTTGTGAAGCAGATTATGCTTCAACAGAGAAGGTTAAATAAAAGTGAATGAGTGCTGCCCCAAAGCACTCACACCTACTATATCATCAGGAAGTGCTGGAATTCCATCAGCATGTCAAGTTTGTTAAAAGAGGGGAAAACACACTGGACACAGTTTACATCCAGTTGTTGCTGCTAATTTAGAAGCACTCACAGTGACCCTTATAACTGTGTGAGGTTTGTCCTTATTTATTTTTAGTCTACAACTGCTTTATTTTTTTCCCAGCCATTTAGTATTTCACTCATTCTTAGGTCTGTTCTGTGTTGGAAGTGGTAATAAACCTGAATCTGAACCTGGAATCCACTGATCGTGGCTACTGTTTACCTCACCCTCGGGCTCCTACCAACACAGTCTCCTGTGCATTTTAATGCAATGGCTCCTTCTCTCTAAATGTCTGCTAAGAGTTAAAAAGTCCAGCAATGAGTTTTCTGAGGCTGTTCTGTGCCTTTGACCTGTTCTGTGTCAAAGTGTTTAACCTGGCCTAAAGCGACAAACCGACACACTGCCATCTATGGAGCTCCACACTCTCACTAGCAGGGCTAAAAGTCAGATTTGGCCCAGATGTCTGGCTTCAAAGTCTCATAGTTATTGATATTTGCCGAGAGTCACAGGTTGGCTCAGGGCACTGCCACCTCACAGCCTGAAGGTTCAGGGTCTGAGTTACATCCCAGTTTCTCCTGCACAGGGTTGGGTATCATTTCAGATTTTTTCTAATACCAGTGCTAAAAAACTACTTTTAAAACAGTGCCAGTGCCTAAACAGTACCAGAACCAATACTTAAAAAAGAAGAATAAAGCCAAGCCATAAACTTCATAATCTGAAGGCCAAGCCTTAGATTTCATACATTTTCAGAAGGCACAAAAAGCCAATTGACTAGGCACAAAGGTCAAGACAGATGGCATGATATGTATGTGCACATAGCTTATGTATAGAGCCTGAGCAGTAAAGTTACAAACTAGAGTAAAGTGCAGATGCTTGTAGAATGGTTAAAGGCAACTATGCAGAGATAGTACCGAAACTGTGCACCTTTATTATTATTTGGATAGTAAATAGTGTTTTCTGTGCACATTTAGAGCCAAAGTCAAACAGTTCTAAGCTATTGAAGTTATTGAAGCTACTAAGACCATGGCTCGGAAGAATCAGGGGTGTATTAAGGAGAAAACAGTGGAAAGGAGGTCTAATTTCTTTTAATTACTCTAACTGGTGCAATAATTATATTCTCCTGGCATTTTGTTGACAGAATGACCAGCATTGCTTCTAGCTCAGTTAAAACTAAAAATAAATACATAATGGCTGCATATTAAGCATTTCACTTGGTTGTAAGTATTGACCATATTAGAGCTTATTTAGCATATGCAATATTTCAAATAGCAAAGAAAATATGGCTCAGACGTACAGTCAGCTGAGCAGAGAGAGAAATAATAAGGATAATTACCTTCATTGGCCAAGTATGTTACACACAAGGAATTTGTTTCTGGTACAGAACTGAGGTAGCCATCTGCGGCAACAACGGCTCTAACCATCGGGGGCAACTTGGGGGTTCAGTGTCTTGCCCAAGGACACTTCAGCATGTGGACTGCAGGCACCGTGATTTGAACCTCCAACCCTCCAGCTTGGAGATGACCGCTCTACCCACTGAACCACAGTCGCAAAGATTACATAAAGGATCACTCCACAGTGCAACAATCAGCCAGTAACAGAGACTGTATGAGCAGTTTATAAAACAGCTGTTGCATAAGAAGAGCAGAGACTTGCAGAAATGTGACCTCTTCACCACTTTGCCCAAGGTACATTCAATGAAGTCCCTGTTTTGTCTCCAAACCAACACATGAAATCCTTGTTTTACCTCCAAACCACTACAGTACAATACTATGTTTGTAATACTAAAGACTGAGGTGTGAAGAGCAGATATTTAACCAATCACAGACAACTGCTCTGAGCGCACGCACCAAGCGGCAACCTCCATGACTGAAAATGAAGCCAGTGCAGAAGTGTCAAAACCTGCAGTTTCTCAAATGGCCTTCCATGACAACTGTACAGGGTGTGAATTCTTTTTATAACTCACCTGTTTAAATTATATTGAGACTAAAAGTTGTGCATAATTAAGGGAATGGCTGCTTTGAGTGGCAGGCGGGAGGGTCCTTCCACTGGTGGCTAGCTTCATTCTGCCCATTCAACCTGCCCCACCTCCACTCATACTCCGCCTCTTTGTCCATTTTTGGATTAGACATAGCAGGCTGAGTGACGCACTATCAATACGGCGATGGCCAGACTTGCACTTCAAAACCGCTATTCAGAAAACCAATGGGTGATGTCACGGTGGGTTTGTCCACTTTTTATACACAGTCAGTGACTACCTCCTGAAGAGTGCTCAAATTTAGCCCCCAGAAGGCACCTCCATGATGGGTACACCACAGTGGAACCAAATGCTGAATCTGTGACGGGTGGTACTCTTCTCAACATGTTTTGGTAGGTTGCTATAATGGAAAAGCCCTTTTGTTAGTGTGTTTGTCCTGCAAGAACATCTGGTTTGTCATAGAATGGTATCCAGCACATCCTGCTGTCCAGTGTGTTCTTTAACATGTTGCATGTAAGAAACTGTTCCAACTTGGAGAACCTTTCTGAATACTGTATCTTTAGAAGGGACAGTCTGAAAACCATGTACTGACGTCTGCCTTCAGAAGCTGCTACACCACCAAATAACTGAATTGTTGTGGTCTTCACTGAAGTGTTTCAGAGGCTTTTCACTCTGACAAACAATCCCTGTCATTGCTATAGAAATGGACAAATTTCAAGAAAACAGACATCAGCAGAAAAACAGACTATCAGACTAACTTTGAAAAACAAAACTTGACAAACTATTTGTGGCCACAAGAGTACAGCAAGTGTACTCAGACACTGTGGACCTGAGAGGCAGCCAGAATGAATGAAGGAGGTGCACTGCATCTTATCGTCTGCTTTCCAAATCAGTGTGTTGTCCTCTGGAGGCTCAAGAGCTAGACAGAGAGAGCAGTGTCTGGGCTTGGCTCTGCCTGTGTGGAATTCTTTCAAGGGTCTATGTTCAACTGATGGACACTGTCTGGGCTGAGAGTGCATGGAGGGCTATTTGCAGTCTGTCACTGTCCCTTCCTTTGAATTAATCTCTACCCCTTTTAAACACTTTCTCCACTGTTTTAACAGTCTCTGACTGTCTGCCAGCCCTGTTCATCATTCAGCTAGGGCTTCCCTGAAATGTCTACTCATAGGGCAACAGTGCACAGAATAAATCAAAGTTACCAGTCTCAGTCTGTTGTGCTAATACCCAATGATTTGCAAATCTCAACAAATCATTACCAGCTTCCCCTCATCTGACAGGTAATTCCAACTCTGAATAAAAAGTGACAGTTAACAGGTCCACTTGTCTGTTTTATGCAACAACAAGCCTTTCTGCTGTGGGAATGACGGTCTTTCCTTTCTCATATTTTCTCATCAGCCATTTCCCATTACCCCATTTCTCCACTTTTATTTTCTCTCAGTGCATTTAAAATCACTGTGGAGAGTTTGGGCCACCGTCTGTGATCTGCATGAAGAAAAAAAAATTGTATACACAGAATGCAGTCTTGCAGTGAGATCAGAGGATTAAGAGCTGGCTGGGTGGGGTCAGGCTCAAGTCTTTTTGGCTTTCAACGCCTTAAGTCAGAACAAATAGGATAAGACCCAAACTGGATGGAGCCACAGCAGGGGAGGGGTTTAAGATCAATCCTTATTTGTGCTGCCTTTATCCTCAGACATTTTACAGTTTCTCTTGGCTGGTTTACCACTGCAGTTCTGTAAGCCTTAACAGACTTTATCAGATTTGACTGGTTGGCTGGTAAAAGCCAATAGTTATTTACTCTGGAAATCTATTAACTTTGGATGACTTAATTAAATATATGGTTAAGTGAGTACAGTTGAGCTTCATTAAGGGTATTACGTAGTAGATTT